AGACTCATACAAATAAATAACATCTTGACATAATGCAATTTACTGTTAAATATCAACAATAATCCCTACCTCAATTAATTTTGCGATAAAATATATATTTTAAATCCATTCATTTGAGAATTCTCCAAATGTCAGCTGGATGTTACGACTGATATGTCTCTCTGTCTACGCTTTTGAATTTTCAAGTATTTTTTTTTTGTTGATTTCTGTTTTAAACGATGAAAGATTTCTCCTACTTACTTCAATAAAGTTAACAATAACTCTTTTTCTCTGTTTTCTTCTCCAGGTTCCCTGCAGTTTAACCAAGAGAGAAGATCCACTCTGGACCAGGAGGAGTTTGAACCTCTGCAGGTGAAACAAGAACAAGAAGAGCCAGAAGATCATCAGATAAAAGTGGAAGAGAAAGAAGTTTACTGCAGTCAGGATGAAGAACAGATTGAGTTAAAACAGGAGACTGATACCTGCATGGTGGTTCCTGTTGATGAGCAAACAAACCAAACGGAATCGGAACCAAACAGGAACCAAGACATCTTCCAGGAAGCTGGTGAAGCTGAGAACCAGAATCAGGAAAGATGCAAGATTTTCTTATGTGTCATCTGTGAAAAACGTTTCCCTTTCAAATCTGTTTTTGATGCTCACATGAGGATTCACACTGGGGAAAAACCATTTTCATGTGTGAACTGTGGAANAGGAACCAAGTCATCTTAAAGGAAGCTGCTGAAGCTGAGAAGCAAAATCAGGAAAGAAGAAAACCTTTCTCATGTGTCATCTGTAAAAAGCGTTTCGTTTTAAAATCTGTTTTTGATGCTCACATGAGAACTCATACGGTTCAAAACCTGTTTTCATGTGTGAAGTGTGGAAAAGGTTTCAGTGAAAAACAGCATTTAACTCGGCACATGAGGATTCACACTGGTGAAAAGCCATTTTCATGTGGGAGCTGTGGAAAAAGTTTTAGTCGAAAACACTATTTAACTCGGCACATGAGGATTCACACTGGTGAAAAGCCATTTTCATGTGGGAGCTGTGGAGAAAGTTTTAGTCGAAAACACTATTTAACTCGGCACATGAGGATTCACACTGGTGAAAAGCCGTTTTCATGTGGGAGCTGTGGAGAAAGTTTTAGTCG